GCAGTTGACTTCCAGTGTCTCCACCCACATACCTTGGAGACGGTGAGTGTGGGTAGAGGTTGAGCCTAATGGAAGAACTTGAATCTATGACATCAGTAGGATGAGCTCCACCTGCTATCCTGGGCAGGGTAGATTTTATGACTGTTAAGTCTCACCTTCTGTTCTACCTCGTGGTCTGTTAGCTGAGAGGCTGCCTGTTCTGGACTCAGGTTAGAGTGGAAGCACCCAAAGACTTACAGCTCAGGCTGTAGAGTCACTGCTGAGAGAAGCACAGGGGTGAATGCAGACCAGGTGCCCTTCTCCTCTTAGTACCTACCCCCCACCCCCACCACCACCACACACACACTCTTGCTCAGGGCACAAGTCACAGCCCCTGAGAAGCTGGCATGACTGTTGCTTTTAAAAGGACTTAGATAATTGATTCTCTCATTCATTCAACAAAGAATAAATTCAGTCATCTATGCTGATTCTCCCTCGTAGCATCCTGGGCTATTTGGCTTCAATCACTTACCTTTCTTCTTGGCTTATTCTTGCTTGCTTTTTGATTTGCATTTCATTTCCTGTATTTTAAAATACTGAACGGTGCATAGAAAACAATATATACTTTAGCAGATTAGAATTATTAAGTGAACACGTGTGCAACTACCACCCAGCTCAAGCACAAAACATAGCCAGCACCCCAGAAGCCCCACCCCATGTCCCTCCATATCACTTACCCTCCCTCTGCCCTTCCCACTGAGATAATCTGTCCTTGCTTCTGTATTAACAACTCTTACTTTTCCTTATAGTTTTGCCACCTACGTATATGTCCCTATGCACTGTAGCTTAGTTTTGTGTGTTTTTGAACTTTGTGTATAAATGGAACCATAGGATATGTATTTGTGTCTGTGTGTATGTGTGTGTCTGGCTTCATTCAAGTTTATTTTTAAGATTCACCATATTTTTGAGTGTAGGTGTGGTTCCTTTCTGTGACTGCATGGATTTCTCTATCTTTCCCTGTATTCTCGTGTCTTGACTTATCCCCACCCACCATCCCACTAAGGAGCCCTGGTGGTGCAACGGTTAAGTGCTTGGCTGCTAACTGAAAGGTCAGCAGCTCAAACCCACCAGCTGCTCCACAGGAGAAAGATGTGGCAGCCTGCTTCCATAAAGATTATAGCCTTGGAAATCCTATGGGGCAGTTCTACTTCTGTCACATGGGGTTGCTATGAATTGGAATCAACTAAACGGCAATGGGTTTGGTTTCTTTTTTTTTGGTACCATCCCACTACCTCTCTAACAATATAAAAAGATTAGATATAGTGGTATAACAATCGTAAGGAAATCAAACAACTTACATATTTGCTTTATATGTAAATCCATGGAGGGAAGGAATTGAATTGCAAACCTGTTTAATAAAAAGGTAATACATGCAAATGGATCCCAATCATAACAGGGTATACAGTGAAAAGAAAGTCTCCCTCCCTGCCTCTTCTGTCTCTCTTAGCCATGCAGTTTTCTTTCCCAGAAAGCAACTGTTCTTACCAGTTTCTTTTATGTCCTTCCGGGGGACAGACACACACTTGAGTGTGCAAAGAATATTTACAAGTACAGGCCCTTATATATCAATAGATACACATACACATACGATGCCCTGGTGGCACAGTGGTTAAAGCACTTGGCTGCTAACCGAAAGGTCCGTAGTTCGAACCCACCAGCGGCTCTCCAGGAGAAAGATGAGACAGTTTGCCTCTGTAAAGACTACAGCCTCAGGAACCCTGTGGGGGCAGTTTTACTCTGTCCTAGAGGGTCGCTATGAGTCGAATTGACTCAATGGCACCGGTTTACTCATGCACATAAACACCTACGTACATGTATGTGTACCCATGTGCATTCATATTATGTATTCTTTGTTTCACATTTCTGAAAGCGCAGTGTGGTAGACACCCTCTGCTTTTGTCCCTTAACAGTGTGATTTGGAGATCTCCTCTATCAGTACGTAGAAATTTTTTGCTGACCCCATAGGCTTCTATTGTGTGGATGTTTAACCAGCTGTTTATGGTAGGCATTTAGGTTGTTTCTCTTAGTTCTCATAAACAGGACTGCATTGAATAGCCCTGAAATATGTCATTTCTCCTGTGCTTGAGTATATATAGATGGGGGATAAATTCCTAGAAGTGAATGTGTATATTAAATTTTGATGATGATGACGTTGTTAGCTGCCACTGAGTCACCCCCCAACTCATGGCAACCTCATGCACAAGGTATCAAAACTATGCCTAGTACTGTGCCACCTAAATAGCTCTACCCAGAGGCTACATAAGAAGGCCTGTTTCGCCACACCCAGTGTGTCAGCAAACCCTGTAATCTTTGCCAATATAATGGATAAAAATCAGTACCTCACTGGAGTTTTGAATTGCTTTTGTTTTATGAACTTGAGTATCTTTTCATATATCTAAGAGCCATTTGAATTTCCTTTTGTATGACTGTCTCTTCGTGTCCTACAACCATTTCTCTCTTCAGCATTTTTTTTTTGTTTTGTTTTGATGTTAAACTTTTGACTTTTTTACTCTGTGGGTTTGCTGCAGTTGGCACCAACCAGTGCAGCTTTGTGGTTATTAGTGTGTCTGGAAGTAAGGATTCAGAACCAGAACTGAATGGATGAGGGGTAAAGCTAAGCTCACTTCCATTTATTTGTGTTGGGGCTTTTCCAGGTGGTGATGGTCAAAGGACTCGATGACTCTGGAAGTGCTCTGAAGATCATTTTGCTGGTGGTGGTGGTTGCCAAGGAGTCGACTCTGACTCATGGCAACCCCGTGCGTGTCAGAGTAGAGCTGTGCTCCGTAGGGTTTCCAATGGCTAGTTTTTCACTAGTAGACTACCAGGCCTTTCTTCTGAGGTGCCTCTGGGTGGACTTGAACCTCCAACTTTTTGTTTAGCGGCTGAGCACATAAACTGTTGGCAGCACCCAGGGGCTCTGAAAATCATTTAGCAATATTTAAATGTATTAGCGACGTAAGCTTCTGTCAGACTTGAGGCATAACTGAGCCACATCTGACCCATGTAACTGCGTCTCTGGACACTGCTTTGATGGTTTTGCTAGACCCGTCCCTTGTTAGTTATCTCTCTACCTTTTGACTAAAGGGCCGTATGGTGAAGGTGCATTTTTTTGCTGATAAATTTACTATTTCTTTTCTTCGTCAATAATTTCCTTCTAGAAAATGGGGCAAGGTTCCTTCTTTTTCTATAAATTAGCTTTAGAGCCCAAATGTCTAGAAAAGTTCTCTATTCCAAAGAAAAGATTTGATCAAAAAGGCAAATATGCCCACGTGCTATTTTGCTGCCTGTCCTAAAATGTTGCCCTTAGTGTAACATTTCTCAAACCATGTTAATAGATGTTCTGGAACTTAAAAGTGTGGTTCCGTTAACACTGAAATTCAATGTTTCTTTACTGCAGGACTTCTCAGAGCCTTCAATGTCCCAGTGGGCCCATTGAATGTTCAAGAGAAGGAATTAATTAGCTTAAACTTAGCATAGAAGTAGGATAAGATTTCAATTGGATTGCATGCTGGCTTGTCTGAATTAAGCAAAACAGGGGACCTTAACGGACGTAGGGTTACTGATTCCCTGACTGCAGTCAGAATTCTGAAATTAACTGGAAACTCTCCTTGATTAAGTCACAGATGAAGACATACTCCATAAGTAATAGATAATAATGCAAAAGGAATAAATGCTTACTACTGATGAATGCAAACACTGAACTTTATTACTTGTTTAAAAATGATAATACCATTATTGAAATTTTCTCTTGCATCATTTTGACTGTGATTTATTTGGATTATCGTAATTGTCGTGACATTACAAATGGAAATGCCCACAGCATCTTTTCTAGCTCAAGTGCAATTTCATCAGAAGGGAAAATTAAAATGAAACTCTTGAACAACTCAAAAACACTTTAGTAATATATGCAGTTGGGACCAGTGAATACCAATTGTTCTGTTACCTTGAATGAATCTCACCTCACATAATGTTGAAGGGGAAGAAAAGCCATTCACAGAGAAATAGACATGATATAGTTCAAAAACAAGACCAAGCATGTTGCTTGGGGTGCTTGTTTTGTAAACCTGTACACAAAAACAAGGGGATGATAAACACAGAAGTTAGGAGCAGGGTTATCTGTTGGGTGGGACCGAGGGAAATGTGATAAGGGGTGCACACCAGGGGCTTTGACAGAGTTGGGAATTGTTCTAGTAAACCAGGAGACAACATCTTTCAATGACTGGAGAAAACTACCACCATGGATAATCAGGTTGGAAAGAGTTAGTGAGGGTGGGAAGTAGAAGTGTTTTATGGGACACCTGTTGTGTGAGAAGTGTTCTCCCCAGCAGCAAAGAGTTGAGGATGTTCACAAGTTCCCTGGAATTTAGACCTGGCAATTAAATGGGCTGAGTTCATTCGGTACTGTAAATCTGATGTTACGTGAAATGAATTTAGAAAGATGATAGATTTTGGTGATCAGAGCAAAGCAGTGCACAACACTGATCAGGACTCCAGCGTGTTGAATTACTCAGTGATACCCTTTTCTTTTGATTTTTTTCATTCACTGAGTATTTCATGTGTTATAAATTTTACAAACTAAACACGTTAAAAAAAATTAACTTAATTTGGCTGTGAACCTCAGGGGCTGTTGAATTTTTGTTCAAGCCGTGCTTAGATGAGGATTAGTTCTTTAGAATTCTGATGTTCTGTGAGGGAGTCCCTGGGTGGTGCCAAAGGTTAATGTGCTCGGCTGCTAACCAAAAGATTGAAGGTTCAGGTCCACCCAGAGGTGCCACAGAAGAAAGGCTGGGCGATCTACTTCCTAAAAATCAGCCACTGAAAACAAATGTGGGGTCACAGTGAGTCGGAAATGGATCAGTGGCAACTAGAAAGAAAGAAAATGTTGTTAGCAATTGGTAAAGTTACAACATACATTAATTTTCTGCTTATTAGACTTTTTTTTCCTCTTTCTTTTTTTCAAGAGTGTACATGGCAAGTCAAAGCAAATGATCGAAGCTTCCATGAACAACCTCATTTTATGAACACAAAGTTCTTTTGTATTAAGAAGAGCAAATATGCAGTAAGTTGATTTTAATTTCCCAAATTATCCTTACTAGAAACCAGGTTTTTCTAGCATCCCTTATGCCTTCTAGATAGCCATTGGTCTTAGACTATTAATAATTATTGTTAGTTCTATAGAATGTCACTTTTATTTATCACAGTAAGTTTACACCGAGGGCGGGGTGGCTTGAACCCCCCACTTCAAAAAAAAATAATATTGATTGGAAATTTCCCTATGCTATGTACAAAGCTCTATTAAAAATATTTTATTAAAGAATTGCAGTAATGAAACAGAAGTCTTCTGTTTGAAAGTAATAAAAAATTTGAAAATAATGATTTTGAAATGTATATTAATTACTTATCTCCCCCTCTTCTACCTGTGATGGATTTAGAGACTTTGAAGATATTTTCTCCTCAAAAACTGTTTATTACACCTGTAATGCACCTGCTTATTACACCTTAGAACACCTGTTAAGTGTGGGCTTAATGTAAGAAGTCCTTGGAAAGGTCTTTTATACTCTTTCTTACATAGTAGCCCCTGTACTGCCTTAAAAAAGAGTGTTTCTGTTTCTAACTTGCCAAAGTCCAGCCTCATCTTCCATCAGCCTGTACTAGAGTGGTAATGGGTCTCCCTCTGTTGACATTCACCTTTGCCCCATTTTCTAAGAGGCTCTGATGGGCCAAGGAATCTGACAGGATTCACTTAGTCAAGGTCTGATTTGCCAAAGACTTTTGAGGTGAAATATTCGTATCTTGTTTATTGTTTCTAACATAAGCCTCCACGTAGTCATTTTGAGACTTGGTTAGAACTAAAAACTTAAAGGAAATCTTGATATCTTTATGACTGACAAATTATGTCCCTGTATCCCTGTAGCCCATGGGACTTAGTGATTTTTGCAGATGTACAGATATTGTTATAAGTATGTGGCATCATATAGACTGACTTTCTTATTTTTTCCCACAGAGTAACGCAATTAAAACGTACAAGTACAATGTGTTTGACTTTATACCAGTGAATTTATTTGAGCAGTTTAAGAGAGTAGCCAATTTATATTTCCTGATCCTTCTTGTCTTACAGGTAATGCCCTTTGATATTTTAGTTCTCATTTTGAATTATGGTGACTCATGAACATTTTAAGCTGCAGAAGCATATAATGTGAATAATTTGAAAGCTTTTTATATTAACATAAGGGTTCTGTAGGTAAGGGAGCAGTGCCTCATACACAGAACCAGCTCAACAAATATGAATGGAACAGGGGAAGGGAACAAATGGAAGTATGATTCTAATTCTATATTTTTAAAAAATTGTATTTTGTACTAACATGAATGTTAAAACTAGCTTTCCTAAAGTGAATAAAATTAAAATCTTTACTTTGTACAGTTATTTATACCATTTAAACTTCTTTTCTATGCTTGCCCTTTATTTTTTGTAGTTAGATGCCTAGCTCCTCAAGAATAATATTGATTTTTATTAATATTTTGGTCAAATATATCAAAAAATACTTTTGTGAACTGGTTTTTACATTGGAAAAGGCCTACTTTTTGTCTGAGTTTTTTGTTTTCCCTTAATTTGGCCGAATATTCACATATCTGGAGAGCGTTAATTTTATTCTGTAGCACATCCATCCGTTTAGGAATAGTTACAATCAAGAGAACTCCGCACACTCTAGTTAGCACTCAGAGAATCAACCTTTAGCAACTGATGTGCAGTTTACAAAGGATAATGTAGCCACTGTGTTTTACCCGATTCTATCAAACATTGGATTTGGAAAATGATCCTGCCTGCCCCAGCTACTAAACCCACTTTGAAAATGGTAGAGTGTATATCTGGGTTGGGACTGGGGACACATGGAGTAGAGAGGAGAGAAAAGAAGAAGATACAAGAGAGAAATGGATACTCAACGGATTTAGTAGAATATAAAGCTTGCTGCCTTAATAGTAAAGGATGGTCCTGCTATCCAGGCGGATATTTTAGGTAGGCTTGTGTAGAGATAAACACTCCAAGTTGTAAGGTGCTGTTGTGTGGTAAGTGGGCTATGTTTTCTCTCACCTCCTTTTAGCAAGGGAAAAGTGAGTTCCATGTATTGTATGATTCCACTTATATGAAGTATCTAGAATAGAAAAATTCTTAGAGATAGAAAGCAGATTAAGGTTACCTGGTGCTGGAAGGAGTGGGGAGTTATTGCTGAAAGGGGACTGAGTTGCTGTTTGAGGTGATGAAAAAGTTTTGGTGGTAGTTGAAACTAATGCCACTGAACTGTACACTTAAAAATATTTAAAATGGCAAATTTTGTTAGATATAGATTGACCTCAGTAAAATAAAAATTTTAAAAAGAGACTCCCATGTCAGAGAACAAGGATGAAGACTTCAAAAAAAAAAATTATTGCAGTTTCCTTTTAGGTATCATGTTACAGAGTCATATCAGTGTCCAGCTAAGGTCACGATGAGAAAATTTCAGGAGCCACAGGCCCAGGCTCTGCTCCAGGTGCCTGGAAGCTGGAGAGAGCCATCTGAGGGAGGTTGGCTAGCTTTGTGGATGGCTTTTCCTACAAGCCCTGCAGGACATAGACTTACATGACAATGGAGAGTAGACTTAGGCTAGCAATCAGTTATGTGTACATTACATACGCCTTCTTGAACACATATGTACGCTTTCTTTCTTTCTTTTTTTTTTGTTAAGACAATTCCTCAAATCACTACCCTGGCCTGGTACACCACTCTCGTGCCTCTTCTCTTGGTGCTGGGCGTTACTGCAATCAAAGACCTGGCAGATGATGTGGTAAGGGTCTTTTAATGCTAGCTTTCTGCTGACTGCTTTGAGCTTATTCTGGTTTGTCATTAATGCCTTATGTTCTGAGATTATTGAAATAACATTTGCCCGTCTCCCTTTTAAAGACTCGTCATAAAATGGATAAAGAAGTAAACAATAGGACATGTGAAGTCATCAGGGATGGCAGGTACTGTGCCTTTGTCTTTTTGACACTTTGTTATTGTTGTTAGTTGCCGTTGAGTTAACTCCAGCTTATGGGGACCCTGTGTACAACAGAACAAAACGTTGCTTGGTCCTGCACCGTCTTCACAATCATACATTGGTATGCTTGAGTCCACTGTTGTAGCCACTGTGTATTTTGAATGACTTCCAACCCGGGGGCTCATCTTTCAGCACTATATCAGACACTCTTCTGTTGTGATTTATAGGGTTTTCATAGGCTAATTTTTAGTAATAGATCACCAGGCCTTTCTTCCTAGTCTTTCTTACTGTGGAAGCTCCACTGAAGCCTATCCACCATGGGTGACCCTGCTGGTATTTGAAATATTGGTGGCATAGCTTCCAGCATCATAGCACCACACAAGCCAGCACAGTATAACAAACTGATGACAAGTGATGGGTCAATTAGTCACAAGAATGTAATGTATGAATATGCCTAGAAACATATTTAGAGATAATGATTTGAACTTGAAGTCTATCAGTATATGAACATTTTTAATTGTAAAGACCTCTCTTAACTTACAAAGGCATTGTATCCCCTTTGTAGCCTGGTGGCTCTACCCAAATTGATTGTGGGTGGTCACTCTGAGTTATCAGCACACCCTATGTTAGGACAACTCCTTCATCTTCCTTCATCCCATCTCTTCATCTTCCTTCATCCCTTCCCTTCATCCTCCTTCATCCCATCTCTCCTGTTCCCAAAGCTGCCCATTCAGGTCTGTGCTCAAATGTCTTGACATCTTACCCAGTTCTCCAGCTAAAGTGATTTCTCCCTTCTCTGTATTTTCAGAGCATTTTCTTTTCATCTTATAATCTGAATTTTATTAGAATTATTTGTGTAGGTATCTCATCTTCTCTCCTAGACTCTAAGTTTCTCCAGGATACCATCTGACGGTGTTTATTTTTGTGTCCACCAGAGCCTCCAACACACGGAAAGTGTTCAATAAATGTTTGTTAAGTTAATGTAATCAGCTGTGACCAAAGTACCAATTCAGCGCTCAGTAATGATTTGTTTTTTTGAGCAAGAGCCTCAAGGCAGAACTGCAGCTTCAAGTGTTAAAATAGTGACTAAGGCACAATTCAAAGACTTTTTGAGTGTCAACACTGAGGAAAATCACCTGATTTACGGCCATATGTTAGCTGTGTCTATTTTGAAATAGACTGCAGCAATCCATAAATATTTTAGGACAGCCTTTTCTCCACACACACACACACACACACACACACACACACACAAAATGGACTGTGTTCTAAATGTTAGCTTTCAAGTCACTTAGCATCAATGTTATGACCATGGTGAGATTCATAGCTAGCCCACAAAATGCTGTAAGCCCACAATACGGATAAAACTACACTGGTAAGTAGTAGCCTAGAGTTGCCTTGAATCTGGGGATGGTGGACACGTATCTGGCAGGGCTGTAGCCCCAGAAGCTCCCACCATGGAGCCAAGCCTATGTGAGGACTTGGGCATCAGTGGGACAGGGCAGCAAGGACCTCATCATGGAGAACTGTTATATCCAGTGCAAGAGTCCCACAGGAACTGCCTCTAATATTCCAAAAGAAATATGATAAGAAGACACTAATATGTTCGTGTGTAATTTGAAACCCACTTGCAAATTTATAATTTCACATATTGGAATGTAAAATACTATAATTCCATTTACTGAAAGGTAAGCCAACTTTACTAAATTCTAGTAAAATTGAGGAAATAAGGGCATAAGCATATATTTTAAATGTATTTTAAATCTCCAGATCACTTTTTTTTTCATAAATTAATTGGAGGCAAAACATAGCAATTGAATTTTTACCTCCAAAAAAATTAAGGTTATTAGTTGTGGTAGGTTCATAATGTCTATTAGGGGTATCTTTTCTATACATGATCACCTTTAAAGCAGAGTACTATATTTTAAAACTTGAAAACACTGGTTTGTTAGAAATTTAAATGAATGTTTTTCTATGGAATTTAATACTGAAGATAGTAATCTTTATTTCATTCTATATTTTATCAACATTCTTATTAGATTTGTTATAAAAATGACACATACAACAGAGAATATATAAAGTAGAAAAATTTCCGTTTTTATACCCATATTTCCAAATTCAGTCTCCAGAGGTAACCACTGCTAACAGATTAATCTATAGTCTTCAGACTTTTTTCTATATGCATATGTGGTCTTTTTTTATACACACAAAAAATGAAATCATGATATGCATACTGTTCTGCACTTGCTTGTTTAACCTAAAAAGATATCATAGGTATCTCTCTTGTCTACTTGACGGAGAAGAACTTTGACTTGGATTTTGAGCCAAGTGTCTTTCTTGACTTTCCTATCCTATAAACTACCTAATAAAGAAGACTGAAATGATAGTTATTGGGAAGCTTGTTTAAAAGCAAAGGAGTTCTACCCTTCAAACACTCTCTTCTTGTCTGGCAGAACACAACTGCTCTGTTATTGGAAAAACATCCTTCCTTGATTGAAGGGTCAAAAGAACATTGGCAGGATCCACTGTGTAAATGATGAACAGGCTTTGCAAGGTAGAATATTAAAACTATCAACAGTTCAGAATGTGGAACCTGCCTTCCAGCTCAGAAGTAGACAACAGCAGAGCATGTGCAGTGGAAGGCGGGCTTCCTGAGATGCTGAGCATCAGAGGGCTGGGAAGCCCTTCTTGCAGTACCAGCGATCTACAGTGAACATTGCCCAGATGTGATGAAGAAGCCATAGGGATCTCACGGGACCTTTCTATAGATCATTCATTGTCATTGTGGATTCTGGCTAGGTGAACTTGGAGAAGGGGCAAGCTCTAAACCTCCATGAGGACTCAGGGTGGCCCCTGGGGGAGCTATCATGCATTCGTATCCTGTGACCAAGACTGAGCAAGTGATGGATAGCCCAGATGGAGGAGAATGGGGAGAGGGAGTGCAGAATATGAACAAAACCACAGAGGGTGGCATGGATGTATCTCCCTTCCACACATGTAAAAAGCCCCTGATGAACCCTTCATTACGTTGACGTAGGATGGAAAGAACAGTGGGATGGAAGAATGCCACAAAGGTGCTTGATATATTTTTTGAATGAGTAAGCAGAGCTTTAATGAACAGTTCTATAGCTTCAAAGCTCTATGACATGGATCAAGTACAATATGAGATGGTACTGCCTGCCCACATGTGTTAGCAGAATCTTGACAGGAAGCAGAATCTAACTTGCACTGCTTACATGAAGAGACTTTAAAGACAGGACATTGCGTAGAGGTGTGGGCAGCAGCCAACACAGGATGCTGTGTGCTCAGAAGTTAGCAACAGCTGGAAGCCATTGCCACCTTAATGGCCTTAAAGGACAGTGGGAGGAAATGGAGGAAAGACTACCAGAGCTGTGGAGGAGGGCAGCCGTGGCCAGAAATGCAGCCTTAGAAGGGAAAGTGTGGAAGAACATCACCATCACTCTCCTCCCTCCTTCCAGCTTGCTCTCAGTGCCTCCCCTTGGCTGAACCTGAGCAGAGCCCAGGGGTAAGGGAGCCAAGCGAGGCCAACCCGAGGGGCCAGCCTCCCAGAGAACAGGGCAGAACAAGGTGGAGAATGGGCCTGGGGAGGGGCAGGTAGAAAATGACCAGTATACCTCCTTTTTATGTAATTGTGGTGATCAAGTGGCAAAAGGAGCATGCTTTATTGTCTTAGTCATCTAGTGCTGCTCTAATGGAAATACCACAAGTGGATGACTTCAACAAAGAGAAATTTATTCTCTCACAGCCTAGTAGGCTACAAGTCCAAATTCAGGGCATCAGCTCAAAGGGAAGGCTTCCTCTGTCAGCTTTGGAGGAAGGTCCTTGTCCTCAGTCTTCCCTTGGTCCGGGAGCATCTCAGCGTAGGAACCTCAGGTCCAAAGGACACGCTCTACTCCCGGCACTGCCTTTCTGGTGGTATGAGGTCCCCACTCTCTGCTTGCTTCCCTTTCCTTTTATCTCTTGATAGGTAAAAGGTGATGCAGGCCACACCCCAGGGAAACTCCCCTTACATTGGATCAGGGGTGTGACCTGGGTAAGGGTGTTACAATCCCACCCTAATCCTCTTTAACATAAAATTACAATCACAAAATGGAGGACAACCACACAATACTGGGAATCATGGCCCAGCCAAATTGATACACACATTTTTGGGGGGACATAATTCAATCCATGACATTTATCAAGTGCTTTATAAACTATAAAGCTCCATTTTTTACATAGTGGTGGTATTCTTATTAACACCAAAGTCATCACTGTCATTGTTTCGTCCTTTCGACAATAATAGGATTCTCACAACCACTTAATGTGGCTACATCATTAAATGGCTGAACTTTTAACAAATGTTTCCCTGCAATCTCCATGTTTCCCAGAATCTTTGGCATGCAGAAAGAATAATTCTAAGCCCCTTGCCAGTGACGTTTAGAAGCCAATCAACATTGATTATTTTTCATCCTTAGGTTCAAAGTTGCCAAGTGGAAAGACATTCAAGTTGGAGATGTCATTCGTCTGAAAAAAAATGATTTTATTCCAGTAAGTGAGCAAGCACTGCTTCTCTCGTTCCTTGTTCTCCCCAGTGCCCTGGCACTCAGTTTCCCCTTGGGAGGGTCTCTTGTTAGTGGTGTGCTTTGTTTTGAACAGGCTGATATTCTCCTGCTCTCCAGCTCGGAACCTAACAGCCTCTGCTATGTGGAAACCGCCGAACTAGATGGGTAAGCATGTCTTACGTGGGCCTGTTGTATACCTGACCTTTGAAGTCACGTTGATTATTGAAATCTGTGCAGCCTGGATGAAGCCACTTCCCGTCTTGCCTTTGCCACTTGCTGGCTATTCCTAATAGACCAACCTCTCTTTTTCCATCTATGAAGTGGAGCTCTCAATACCTCCTTTCCCCAGGGAAGGTGAAAGGATCAAACGTAAGAATGTATGCCTGAGCCCTTTATAAACTGCTGAGCAGTGTCCAGACAAACATAAATGACTTTTACTATTATCATCTGTTTCAGAGAAAAGAACAGGTTTTAAAAATCTTTGTCGGTGGGCAATTTTGAGTTTGTTGGTTTTGGTTATTATCTAGCCACTGAACGAGGATAAAGTTCTGGATCTGCCCAGTTTGTAATATATTTATCAAGGGCTTACTGGGTCGCAGTCACTTTCTGTGTTTTGACTTATTTAATCTTCTCAATAACCCATGAGACGAGTAGTATTACCTCCATTTTACAGATGAGGAAACTGAGGCACAGGTCGGTTACACAGGAAGTGGCCGAATCGGGATGCTGTTCCCCTGGGCTACCTCTCAGGACTAATGTGTGTGCTTACCCCTCTAGCATTAAGCCTCTTTTTCTCACACCCTAGACATGCATAATCTTCATCATGGAGAGCTGACGTTCTTTGAAAACTAGGCCTGTCTTTGCTCTATAAATCAATGAGTTGATCGTCCAGTCTTAAATATAAAACAGTTATTATTCCCATGAGGGAGATACGAAAGCTTTACAAAGCTATAAAATTGCTAACATGCCCCGTCAGAACCAACAGAAGGGGGTCTCAGGTACTGTCAGAGTTTCTTGAGGAATTGATCTAAAATAAGTTTTAAGGATAAAGGAGCCCTGGTGGTGCAATGGTTAAACACTTGGCTGCTAACCGCTAGTCAGCTTCTTAATACATGTAAATTTGTAAGTCTTGTTTTGTGGAGCTTTTGAAAGGTCCATTGGAGGAGGCAACATTGCTCCCAGAGCACATGTCCCCTGTCTGACCCTGTGCGTCCACACAAGCGTCCCTTACCTTATACCGCAGGTGGTCCATGTGAACTGCTGGGATACAGCTACCTCCTCTCTCCCGAATAAAATTACCTATCAAAAGCATGTGATCAATATATTTACTCTGCAGAACAATAATATTCACTGTTTTAACAGAGTCTAAACACAATTTCTGTAACAGATATGCTTTGTATAAACTTCTTAGTTTGATTAAATATTAAAAGTTAAGTTTTTAAGCAGTAGTTTGATCATGCAGCCTGGTGATAAGAAATTAGGTTGATGAGTAGAAAGTTGTAGGGGAGATTGTAGGTACCTCTGTCTTAATTATATTGGCCCAAACAGGAAAGGGGACCAACTTTTCCCAGGTTGGGAAGTTTTTTTTCTAGTTCAGGGGATCATCTTCTCCAATCCCAAAGTTCCATGGTGAACAGAGAGCTTGGAAGTAGAAAAAGCTAATTATTTAGCTTTCACTTCCAAGGATGCCTAATCTTACTTCATGCGATTTTCTTTATATTCCCTTTGTAATGCTAAAATTTGTTAATTTAATTATTTTGTTGTTTTCCTCTCTTTAGAGAAACCAATTTAAAGTTCAAAATGGCACTTGAAATAACGGATCAGTATCTCCAAAAAGAAAACACATTGGCAACATTTGATGGTCTGTACCAATATGTCTTAATTTGTTTTAAATTTTAGTTGCGTGTTTCAGTACATATTGACTAAAACCAGAAAATCTTTCATGCGTGATTAATTATGTGAATCACATCTTTTTTTTTAAGGTTTTATTGAATGTGAAGAACCCAATAACCGACTAGATAAGTTTACAGGAACGCTGTTTTGGAAAAACAAAAGTTTTCCTTTGGATGCTGATAAAATTTTATTGCGTGGCTGTGTCATTAGGAATACTGATGTCTGCCATGGATTGGTCATTTTTGCAGGTACTTTCAGAGTTTCTTAGGGAATTGATCTGAAATAAGCTTTAAGGATTTTTGGAGGTGATTGCTTTTCTGTCTCATTCTAAAGGAGCCCTGGTAGTTTAACAGTTAAGCACTTGGCTGCTAACCAAAAGGTCAGCAGTTCAGACCCACCCAGTGGCTCCAGGGGAGAAACTGGCAGTCTGCTCCCATAAAGATTACAGCCTAGAAAACCCTGTGGGACAGTTTTACTCTGTCACATGGGGTCACAATGAGTCAAAAATCGATTCAGCAGCACCCAACAACAATTCCATTGAAACCAAAGGAAGTGCAATTTATCGACACGCTGTGAATTGAGTTTTTTAGTTGTTGATCGCATTGAATTTTCCATTTGTAGGTGCTGACACTAAAATTATGAAGAATAGTGGGAAAACCAGATTTAAAAGAACTAAAATTGATTATTTGATGAACTACGTGGTCTACACGGTATTTATCTTCTGTTTCGCTGGATGAGAGCTAGACTGCTGCCTGTGCTCAAATTTTGTTGCATGGTTTTCTGATGCAAAGAAAACTTACGTTTTTAGGCTGAGTAGGAAAAGGATTGGAAGCGCAAAGCCGTGGTGGGGGTTTGGAGGGGGAATTCCTTTACTTGTTCTCAGAAATGCCACACTTCTGCTAGGAGAATCCCCTTGGGAAGGGACGTTGCAGTTGTAAGGTGCTTGAGTGGTCAGGTATTTGGTGGCTGGGGTGACCAGTTAGAAAACCAGGGAGCCCTAGATTAGTTAGTGTGCTGGGCCCCTAAAGTCAATGTAGGGCTGATTTTCCTGCTGTTTGTTTCCCAGGAGCATAATTGAAATGATCTCCATCTCTGAAATACATTTAAACATTTTGTGTCTTCTAGATCTTTGTTGTTCTTATTCTGCTTTCTGCTGGTCTGGCCATTGGCCATGCTTACTGGGAAGCACAAGTTGGCAATTATTCTTGGTACCTCTATGATGGAGAAGACTCTACCCCCTCCTACCGTGGATTCCTAAATTTCTGGGGCTACATCATTGTTCTTAACACCTTGGTGCCTATCTCTCTATATGTCAGGTAAGGCTGTTCCACTTTGGTCTTTTGTCTTAGGGGAAGAAGGTAGTGTGTGTTCCCAATTTCGCACTATTATTTATAGCAATAATTGTTTCAAAGGTCATAAGGAACAATGACAACACAAGGGCTGTCATTTTAGGATTAAAGATGATACAGGAGAAGGAGATTAATGATTGAGTGTCTACTCTGCCAGGCACAGCACTTATATCTCATCCACTTTACAGATAAGGTGACTGAAGTTCAAAGATTAGACGCTACTCCCATTGCCATTTGGTGGTAGGATTCCTTCTTGGGTGAGCTCCAAAGCCCATGCTTCAAAAAGAACCTGAAAATAAAATAAAGCACGTAGGGGTCACAGTTATGGATACTTACTAGACATAACCAAACACCTCATGGGATTGGTTTACTGGGTTTGAGGGCTTAGGACCATTGTCTCCTGGGGCAAATTAGTCAGTTGGCTCAATACAGTTCATAAAGACAATGTTCTACAGTCCTAGTTTGGTGAGTAGTGTCTGGGGTCTTAAAACCTTGGGAATGACCATCTAAGATACAACTATTGGTCTCTGCTCATCCGGAACAAAAGAGAAAGAAGGAAACCAAAGATGCAAACAAGAAACTAATCTGCAGAACTAATAGTCTACACAAACAATGGCCCCACTTACCTTGAGACCAGAAGAACTAGACAGTGTTCGGCTACCACTACCAACAGTTCCTAGCAGGGACTCAATAGATGGTCCCAGATAGAATTGGAGAAAAATGTAGAACAAAACTTAAATTCCTAAAAGAAAAGACCAGACTTACTGGACCAGTAGAGACTAGATGAACCCCCAAGATTTTCACCCTGGAACACTCTTTAAACTTGGAACTCAAACCACTCCCAGAGGTCGGTCACCTTTCAGCCAAATGACAAATTGGCCCGTAAAGTAAATAATATCACCCAGGAGTACTGTGCTCCTCTAAATAATCATCTAAATGAAACCAAACAGTAAACATTTTCCATAGACCGAAGACAAGAAGGTAAAGGGGGACAGGGAACCTAGGTTAAGGGAAACTGAACAACCAGAATGGAAAAATAATGAGAAAGCTGGTATATTGTGAAAAATGTATCCAATGTCACTGAACAATATGTATAGAAATTGTGAAATGAGAACCTAATTTGCTGTGTAAACTTTCACCAAAAACACAATAAAATATTTAACAACTAAAAAACGAGCCTGGGAGAACGTGAAAATTTAGAACGCCATGGAAAAATTCAGTGTTTTTTTCCTTTTTAGGAGCCTTCCTAACTTCTTATCTGAGTCTTCCTTATTACCATCTGCTACACCATTGCTCCTAAAACTCAGTGGCTTCCTGGCTGCTTACTGCCTCATAACAGGAATGAAACTCTTGCTGTCCTCCTTCAGTGACTCAAAATTTTCTGTTTCTTATCTCAACAACAACCGCAGCAAAAATGTCAGGGTCGTATCTGTGGCAAATAGTAATTGCCTTCTTTGGTGATATTTCTTTCTTTCTTTTTAACTTTTCTTTAATAGCCAAGTTCACTGTTACTAGATTTTAGACCCTTGGGAAAGGAGTGTGCCTGGATTATACTCAGCAGCCAGACTTTGTTCTTAGTTCCATAAATAACAGCCCAGAGGCATATAGGATCACATGCACGCCTTTAATTAGAAGCATTTATTTTATTTGAATTTTATTACCTGTGTATTTGTTTTATTTTTAATTTTATTACATGTAATTATTATTACTCTTTTAACATGAAGTGAAGTTCTGGGGCAGCCATCTGTTTGCAGCTACTTTTAAAAATAACTGAGACCCGTGTTACCTTTGTTAAGGAAACTATTACTACAGGTTATTATGTCAAACTATAAATATATGTTATAAAATAAATTGTATCTGTAATATTTGGTTAAAGAACAAGTCATGCCCTGTGTTTAACATGATTCTTTTTTTTAAACTAATATGAATTTATTATTCTCGGAAACGAAGGTCCTTGTAAAACCGAAGTCAGATCAGGTGATTTCAGTCAGATAGCGTCACTGCATTGTCCTCAACCCTGTAACAGCTTTCCATCTCATTCAGAATAAACACATGGGGGCCGCACTGTACCAGACAGGGCCCCATGTGACCTGGTGCTCTGCCCTCCCCGACCCCCGACCTTACCTGCTGCACCTCCGCCCACCTCCCTGGACTCCGACCACTCTAGCCTCCTAGATATGCCTTACTTGTGCCAGTGCCTGCCACAGGGCCTTTGTGCCTGCTCTTAGCTCGGCCTGGAACAAATATCCCAGTATTTGTTTCCTGGGGCTACCTTAACAAATTACCACAAACTGTTTATTTATTCTCTCAGTTCTGGAGGTCTGAAGGATAATTGTTCCATGACTCTCTCCTAGCTTCTGGTAGTTGCTGGCATCCTAGGCATTCCTTGGTTTGTGGACACATCACTCAAATCTGTGCCTTCATTGTCACATGACGTTCTCCCTGTCTCTCCTCTATATCTCTGTGTCCAGATTTCTCTGTCAGATAAAGACCACAGTCATTGAATAGGTCCCACCTAACCCAGTATGACCTCATCTTAACTTGATTGCGTATGTAAAGACCCTGTTTCCAAACAGGGTCACATTCGCAGATACCCCGGGGGTTCGAACTTGAGCATGTGTTCTTGAAAGACACAGTTCAACCCACAGCAGTCACTCTTTTATATTCTTCAGATCTCTGCTCAAATATTACTTTATTCTGATGGCCTTTCCTCTCCACCCTTGTGTGTACATGTCTGTCTATCTGCATTGCACACGCAGACAGGCTGTGCCTCAAACGTCCAGGCAGCCATGAGATTGCTGGGAATGAGACACATACACCCACTGGAAGCAACCATTCTGTGACTGGCAAAGTGAAAGCCATTATCATTATTTATAGAAAGCAAACATTAAACCATAACAGATTCCCAAAGGGGAAACACTTACCCTTCCCTACATTACCCATGTCAATTTTATGTAGCTGGACAGGCTGAGGTTCAGGTCAGATGCCATGTCCATGTTACTGCTGCCTCCAGCTACCACCACCCTGCCCGAGGCTTCTGCTTTGCCACTGGGCCTCTGGTGGGAAGAACCTTGCACAAGATTTCCTGAGTCTCTACCACCAGACTCTTCTAAGCTTCTGTCACTGGCTCGCACCACACTACCTGGGCCTGGTGGGCTCTCTTGCCGCCATGCTACCTGGGCTCCCAGTGCCTCTGGGGGAGGTGGAGGTGTGCAACCCCAGTACAGGGCCTGCTCAGGCCTCTGCCATGCACAGGCAAGTGTTACTGTTCTTTTTGCTCTGCCAGCATGCCTCCTGCCCAAAGACACTCAGCTCTGGCTCAGCGGGCAGGGTAGGCTCACCACCGCCGTCTCTCACCGTCTTCAGTGTTCTCTCTTTCTTCTCTGTCTAAGAGGTTCTCAGTGCAGGGGACACCAGGTCCTTGGTCCAAAGGTCGCACTCTGCTCCAGGCTCTTCTTGATGGTAGTGAGGCCTCCTTCAACCTCTGTAGGAGTGGTCCTCTTAAGCCCCGCAGGATGGTAAAACTGATCAATTCCCTAGGTAGGCATAGCAAACTGTCCAATCCCTGCAAGAGTTTACGCACCTTATTTGCATAGCCCCAGACGATCATTTTGTGGAGTTATAAGACCACAGCTAGAAAGACCATATAAAAGCAATTCACCACACTACAACCCTATCTTAAATATCACTTTCCTTCCCTGCCTGTCTTCGTGTCCCTTTACCCTGCTTTGTTTTTCTTCAGAGGACTTTCACCTGCTGATATAGTAGATATTTACTGGTTTGCTTGTCTCCTCCCCACTAGAAGGTAACCTCCTTAAGAGCAAATATTTTGTTTTAAATAATATTTTATTATATTTTTAATGGACGTGTACACAGCAAAACAGGTTCCCATTCAACAATTTCTGTACATTTTGTTCAGTGATATGGGTTACATTCTTCACGTTGTATCCAAATTCTCATTACTTCCGTTCTAGTTGTTTTGTTCCCATTAATCTAGTCTCACAGCCACCTAACCTCGTCCATGCTTTAGAGTATTTGTTGTCCATTAGTTTCATGTTGGTGGTTTTTTTTTTTTAAAAGAATGCAGTACTCAAGGGTGATGTTCATTACTTTATGAGCTAACCTGCTATTTAGCTAAGAGTAGAGATTTTCTGTTTTGTGTATTGCTATGTCTCCAGCACCTAGAACAGTATCTGGCACATAGTAGGCACTCAGGAAATATTTATTAAAAGAAGGAAGGGAGGGAGAGAGTTATTTTTCCATCTGTTCAATTTGTCATAAAGATGTTCTTTGCCCATTTGACAGTTGTTGGATATGTAAGCAGCTTCCTTGTAGCTGAGATGTATTTAATCCTTTAAACTTTTGAAATTGAGATTATCTTTTCAGAACATCTTACTTTGCACATTCTGTAACCTTATAAGAATTCAGGGGGAAAATACACCTTTTCATAGTGTGAAATCATGATTCAGAAGTCATTCACCCATAGCAGTTTGCCTCACTTGAGGGCACACAAGGGTCTGTAACAGAGTAGACCCTCCTTTCCTTTGCCTTACAGTCGGGGGCAAAGGTGAGCATGGCCACTACAGGTGCCTCAGGTGCGAAGGGGAACGAGAGAAGCAAGAAGAGGATCACTGCCTCCCACAGTGCTGGTCTGCAGTTGACTGTGTTGTCCGCTCCCCTGGGTACGTGGGCTGGACACGGGCTCTGAGTGTGTGGCCCGTTGTGCTCAGGAGTGAGGGGGAAAGTGCATGGATCAAGGCACTTGGAGGGAAACGACTCACCTAGATTAGTTTGTTGAGGAAGCTGGAGGAAGACCTGCTTGGTCAGGAGAACCCTGGAGGCTGGGCCCGGAGCCACCCCAAGGCTACTTGTTTCCTTATAGATAAGCAGCTGGTTCCTGTAAGCTCAGGCTAAAATCCACTCCCTGCAGATTGTATCTGAGCATGCTGTCAAAAGTAATCTCTTATCTCCTAGCGTGGAAGTGATTCGTCTTGGGCAGAGCTACTTCATAAACTGGGACCTACAGATGTACTATGCTGAGAAGGACACGCCTGCAAAGGCCCGAACCACCACACTGAACGAGCAGCTGGGGCAGATCCATTACATCTTCTCTGATAAGACAGGAACACTGACTCAAAATATCATGACCTTTAAAAAGTGCTGCATCAATGGGCAAATATATGGTGAGTGTAAGCCTAACGTTACTGGGGACAGTGGTGGCTCAGTGGTAGAATTCTTGCCTTCCATGCTGGAGATTCAGGTTCCATGGTACCACTCAACTGTCAGCTTGGATGTTGCTGAACAGTTTTCAGTGGAGCTTCCAGATGAAGACAGACTAGGAAGAAAGGCCTGGCAGTCTGCTTACAAAAATCAGCCAGTGCAAACCCTATGGATCACAACAGTCCAATCTACAGTCGATCATGGGGTTAGCACAGGACCACGCAGTGTTTCATTCCATCGTGCATAGAGTCGTCATGAGTCTGGGGCCAACTTGACGGCAGCTAACAACAACCCATTACTCGCTGCCCAGGTGCGTGGGGGCTGCTTTCTGTGTGCAAGGCTCTTCACATACATGGGCCCATAGTGCTCACTCAGTGCTGCTGGTGGGCACTCCTGGCCGAGGAGCGCACAGTGTCATGGGCAGTGTTGGGAACACCTGCATGGGAGAGGCCAGTGGTCAGAAATAGACACACACATATGTTTTTCCACGTGGAGAAAACTTTATACTATGAAAGCATTTTCAAGTAATGAGCATCTGCAGGAGGTGTTGCGGGAGGTGTGGACAGGTACCCCCTCTTTAATCTGTGAGGAAGTTGTGACCCCCCTCTAAGATTGAGGAGGCATTTCCCATGTATACGATGACCATCGCTTCTGAGTCGGGGGTGGCCAAGCGTTTTGTAGGACATAATTCTGGCCCCAGGGGAGATTGCAGTTTGAAGGACCCAGGCTCCAGTATTTGAGTATCAAAACCAAGGGTCGGCAGACTTTTTCGGTGAAGAGGCAGACAGTAAATGTTTTGGGTTTGCAGGCCACATATGGTCTCTGTCAAATATTCTCCTCTGTTTTGTTTTCTTACATTCCTTGGAAAATGTAAAAACTATTCTTAGCTCAGAAAAAAAACAAAAAACAAAACTGAACTGGTTGCTGTTGAGTTGATTCTAACTCATGGCACCCCAGGTGTGTCAGAGTGGAACTATGCTTTATAGGGTTTTCAATGGCTGATTTTTCACAAGTAGTTTGCCAGGCCTTTTTTCCGAGGTGCCTCTGGGTGGATTAAGGGCCATATAAAAGCAGACTATGAGACCCCCATAAACACCACTAACATGTAAGCAAAGCAAGGTGAGGCAGTGACACCTGGATACAGGTGGGGGACTCAATTTGTTTTGTCCTGTTTCTTTCTCAGGAGACCACAGGGATGCTTCTCAACACAATCACAGCAAAATAGAGGTGAGTCTTTTTAACTTGAGGAATTGTTCAGGGTGACTTTTTTTTTTTTTTAATTTTTGTAAAAATATAAATAACCCAACATTTGCAAATTCAACATTTTTCACTTGTACAATTCCATGAAACGAATTACATCAATCATGTTGTGCAACCATCACCAATATCCATTGTCAGGGTGCCTTTTTGTTTCAAGACAGATGTGAGCATCTTGGCATTTAAGTCAAGAATGTGCTAAAATCCTAATGTGATTTTTGCATAATTAAGAACTTGGCTTCAAAGAAAAGTTATGTCATTTGTTAAGCCAAAAATGTTTAGTTTTTTTGGTTTTTTTTTTTTTTTTTTTTTACTATTTTATTGTGCTTTTGGTGGAAGTTCACATAGCAGATTAGGTCCTCGTTTAATAATTTCTATACATATTGTTCAGTGACATTGGTTACATTTTCCACATTGTGTCAACATTTTCATTATTTCTGTTCTGGTTGTTCCATTTCCATTAATCTAGTTTCCCTGCCCCCCTACCCCGACCTTCTCGTCTTTGCTTTAGGGTAAATGTTGACCATTTGGCCTCACATAGATGATTTTTT